CCTGCCTGCGAAGAGGGAAATCGGGTGAGAATAATCTTGCTGAAGCTGGGAAGGTCTCAGGGTGCAGCTAAGAGAGAGGAAAAAGGCAGCGCAGGGACAGAGAGCACACGAGAAGCGCCGCTGCCACACGGTTCATCCTCGCAGCACGGGAGACACGGGACGACACGGCCACCTCGGCGATGCAACAGGCAGGAGAGGGTTGGAGCTGGGAGAAGCTCAGTTTTGCGAGCGGCGGGGCCCCCCCCCAAGCCCAAAAAAGTTTTTTAGAGTCTCGGTGGAGCCAGAAGGACCAGTCCCCATCGTCGCACCAAGCCGCACGTCCTCAGCCAGAGGAGCAGCAACCCGCGCGCGCCTTCCCCTGCAAGATCAAACCAGCTGCTTTAAACGTCTCCCAGGCAGCCTACATTAAAGGGCTCCTTCCGACTTTAATTGCAGCAGAAATAAAAACCAACAGCACCGTGTCTTGGACGCAAGCACGGCTTTAATAAGATCGTGGGAGCCTGCTGGGGTGGCCAGGATGCTCGAGCGGGGATTTCTAGGCACTCCAGGACCTCGCCTTGCTGGAGATTTTAGATAAAACCCCATTTCCTGAAATCCAGCAAAAGCCAAACTCCGAATTTTCCCAGAGGTGTGAGTTTTGTTGGTTCACAAGCCTTCACGCACCCCTAAAACCCTTCGAGATGCTGCAAAGCAGAGCTGGCACGAGGAGCTCGTTGCATCCTCCAAGGAAGCAGCCTGGCTCCAGCAGCAGCATCTCTCCACAAGAGAGCCGTGAAGTTGGATTTCCCACTCGTGGCTGCTGGTTGCACTGGTTTGGACTGGACACGGCGCTGAGCTTGCCGCCTGCTGTGATTTTAGCATCGCATCCTGCTCAGCTGGTTTGAAGCCTGTGCCGGACAGGGAACACACCTTAATCCCCACGGGGTCAGGCCGGTGTGGTCTGTAATCTGGAGGGAGGTGGAGGACGGTGGTTTCGGGCTCCCAGCAAGCGTGAGGGCTTCAGCAGAGGGTTTGGGAGCAGGTGCTTCTGCAAACTCAGCCGGGATCACACCCATTCAGAAAGGATGTAGACACGGTGCCGAAACCTCATCTTCTTTTTGGGGTTGGGATTTTTGGGTTTTTGTGGGGTTTTTTTTTTCCACTGAGTTTAGTCACAGCACACTCGGAGCTGCCATGGTCACTGCGGATGCTCGCTCAAGCTCCAAACGCCTCATCTTCTTTGGGTGGTACCTACACTCATCTCTTCTTCCTCCTCCACCTGCTATTAGCACCGACATGCCCGTGCACAGGGAGAATGACGATTTTAAAGTCATCTGGCCCATTCAGAGCTGAGTCTTTCTGCCTAATAACACCTTGTCCTAGAAGTACACAATGGAGAGGATCCCACCTCTCCATGCCAGGAACAAGCTTGGTCGGCTTTGGATTTTTGGGGCTCACTTCATCTTTTTCCCCAATTCCAGCCTATTTCTAGCCACGATGGAGCAAGATCTGACCCCCCCAGTGCTCCCCTACTAATAGTCCAGACCCCCTTGGGGCATTTCTTCTCACCCATCCTGCACTGCCACTCTGTCAAGGAAAGTTTGATAAACTCCCTAAGCTGATAATTACACCTTATATATTACTCTGCATGCATAATTGCAGGCAGGAACTTTTAAGAGCCATGTCAGCCTAATTACCTGCAATAGGGCAAGGCATCGAACCAGTTATCAAGTCCCGCTTGGGTTTGCATGAGGGTTTATTTTCTTTAGGTGCGTAGCTGTAACAGCACAGTCAGAGCACCCTGGGCAGGCACCAAGATCTTTCCCAGGGACCTGCCTTCCCCATCGCACATGGAAGCCAGTGAAGAAGAGCAAGAGGCTGGTTTGGACCAGTAAAAATCGTGTTTAAAGCCAGTAAAACCCAAGAGAGGTCGGTTCCCATCCTGGTAAAACATCCATGGCCAGGACCTGTCAGAATTGGCTTTGCAACTGGGTGGAGAAAGCACCAAAAATCCCCTTCCAGCCTTTCTTCTCTCTTAAAAAAAAGGCAACCGCCTGCTGGGAGACATCATACCCAGCAATCCAAAAGCAAAACACCCCATAAAACTGCTTTTTTCTTTTTCCTCCTGGGGCTGGAGCAGGTACCCCTGAGCTCATCCTGCCCACAGTCTCCCCCAGCTTTACATTAAGTTTGCTGCCCTATAAATACCTGGATGCCCCCCCAGGGAGTGCAATAAAGCCCCGGGTGGGCTCAGCTTTGCCCAAGCCCCTTCATCCCTGTCAGTGGGTTGGTTTCGCCTCCTCTCTTCCAAAATAAAGCCAGCACGGGCAGAACAGGCAGGACCGAGCAGCACCTCACGGCTCGATTGGGACAGGCACCTGTTTGCACCTCCTAAACGTGAAAGGTCAGCTCAAAAGGACATCACGGGGGGGAACATTTCCCTCCTACTCTTTGCAATAAAGCACGTGCCTGCAGGAAGGGAGACGCCACCCCACCCCAAAAACCCCTCATCGAGCCCCCACGGAGCTTAAAACCCCCTCGTACTCACCGGCTCGGTCGTCCTTGGGGAGGAGATGCCGGGCGAAGCGCACGTGAAAACCCTCAGGAATCGGCTCGCCTGGGTTATTTGCAAGCTCTGGCGCTGGGATCTGTTCCCAGGTCCTTGAAATTAGGGCAGGCAGAGATCCGTCAGCAGCGGAGAAGTTTATGCAGAGCAGCTTTTCATCTGGCAGATCTGATTTGAAAAAGAAAACAAACCGAAAACAAACACAACACAAGAGAACTCCTCTGACCAGATTGATTATGGCCACAAAACCACGAGCCTCCAGACATCTACATCTATCTCTTTCTATATATAAATATACATAGATAAATACATACGTCCTGTGACAGTTTACCATGGCTGATCTCTCACGTGGTAGCACAGAGCAGAGCCTGCGTCGCAAACAGCGCTTGTGCCTCCTCAAAAAATCCCATTCTTGGAGCAGAAACCAACTCATGGCGGGGAGTCACCTCTACGATGGGGACAGCCCCGCGCTCCTCCCACCTCAGCTGCAGCGCAACCGTCCCTTCTTCCTCGCCAAAGAAGACATTGCAAGAAGGATTTAATATTTTCCCCACTCTAGGAAAACCTCCAGAGGCGTGCAAAGGCCCCCAGGAGCTCTGAAAGACCCCTTAAGGCTTGCAAAGAGCCCAGGAGGCTTGTGAAGACCTCAGATGGTTTGCAAAGAACCCCCAAAGGTTTGCAAAGCCTTGAGGAAGGTTGCAAAGACCCCAAAATGCTTTGAAAGACCCCAAAAGGCTTCCAAAGACCCTGCACAGCTTGCAAAGATCAAACCCGGTTTCAAAAAAACCCCTGGGAAGGTTGCAAAGACCCCGTCCTGCTTCCACACCAACCACCTCAAAGACACGTGCAGCAGCGGGGAAACGGGCTCTGCCAGACACTCAGCCCCCCCAAAAGACCCAGGAGCTCCCAAAAATTGCCAGAGCCACCAGGGTTTCAATCCCATATTTGCTGACAGGTAAGACTTGCTCCTAAGGGCCCCCAGGCAGGCAAGTGCCAGGGGCTTTTACACACACCAGCTAGACTGTACAGGATACAAATAAATTAATATTTATATATAGATATATAAAACAAACCCCATGACCAGCTGAAACGCTCCAGCACATTCTCAAAATTGCAAGCGAAGCGGTGACCTCATGGACTTTCTGTAAAAGGCGGGAGGAATTTGGGGGTGGGTTTCTTTTGAAGAGAACAAACATAAAATATTTTCCTTAGTGACATCTGAAATACTAAATCCTCAAGCGCAGGAATTGGGAAGTGAAAAACGATAAAAGAGGAGTTGCTTTTCGCTCCTTTTCTTCCAGACTGATGGATTTACACCTCAATTTTCCCAGCCCACGAGTCCCAGGAAAGCGCCAGATGGTGAGGCCACTCTGGTGCCAGC